AGAGAAGAGAAGAGAAGAGAAGAGAAGAGAAGAGAAGAGAAGAGAAGAGAAGAGAAGAGAAGAGGAAAAGAGAAAAGGATAGCTTACACCTTGATTCATTTTGTATGGCAAGGAAAAAGATTAAATTAGAACAAATGAGGCAGATAGACCTATGGGTCAGAACCCTGGCTCTGAAGCTTAACAGATAGGTAATTTGGGGCATCAGATTATCCAGCAGTAAAACTTGACTACTTATTGAATTATTGCAGTGGTTGAATGAGAAAATCCATGGAAAACATTGAATATAGCATGTAACACATAGCAGGAGCTACAACATTGGTAATTAAAAGCATTTAATATAACATGTAAGGGGCTGGGGATTTAGCTCAGCAGCACAGCGCCTGCCTGGCAAGCACAAGGTCATGAGTTCGATTCTTACATATAACATGTAAGACATAGCAGGAGTTCCAACATTGGTAGTTAAGGAAAGTTTTGAATCAGAAACTTCCTTATTGACCAAAGAACATATAAATCACAAGTTTCACTGCAAATAGTAGACTAGGAAAGGCATTACCAAATGTTACTGTAGTAACTCAATGGTCCAAACTATAGTATACATGTGACTAGAGCAGCCACTACTCAAAAATCCTTTACATTGGAGTGTAAAGGGGGGAGTGCTTAATGTTTATTTCTACAGTTTGTTTTCATAAGAACCTTTATGGGAAAAAAGGGGATCCTGTAAATAACCAAAAAATGAAATGCTTCTTGGCCAAAAGCAGTATCAATGCATTTGTAAACAAGATAAACTTGCTCAGCCTATTAAGCACAAAAATAAAACTTGTCACAGACAGCACAGCTGTTCAAGAGTTGAGAGTGGGAAGTGTTTCATCCCAAGTTCTGGTGCGCTAACATGGCTGAACATGGAGGTAATTCTTTTTTTTTTTTTTTTTTTTTGGTTTTTTTCCAGTACCAGGAATTGAACTAATGACCTTGCACTTGCCAGGCAGGCCCTGTGCCACTGAGCTAAATCCCCAGCCCCCATAGAGGTAATTCTCAATTTTCCAGCCTAGGTCATCTCTGCCTCAGCCTCTTACAGGAACCCAGCACTGGCATTCCCTCATTTTCAGAGCTAACACTGCTGGTGTCATAGTCCCCAGGAGGATTAGTAGTCCAGGGAGGATATGAAACACTCATCGACATCATACCTTTCTCTATTTTTACAGGAAGGCATTAGAAGTAAACAGGGGTATAGAATTCAACAGCTGGGCAGGGTATTAAACATTTGGTTTCAAAAAACCTTTGTACTCAGGTTTGTTCTTGGATAAACTTCCTGTCCCATCCAGAAATGCTGAGGGAAAAGGGCCAGGCCCATCAAGCAACAGAGGGCTTTAGAGGAAATCAACAGAAAACCATATTATAGAAGAACCTCTAGGCTACAGAAACACAAAAGTCATAAGAGAACGCCTTAGGTCATTTTGTTTATTTCTCAACCCTCAGTCCGAACTGCACCTAACCATGCCCAAAGAAAAGATAACAATCTTACTCAAAAATTGTTTCAGAGGAAAACAGATTCTCTAGCTTTTTTCAATAAAGTTTGTCTATGTATGCCAACCTTGCCAGCAAATACTGCTTAGTAACAGTCTTAGATTCTTCCCTCTGCTTTTTTGGGCTCTCTCTCGGTCTCCTATTTCCAGTCATAACAGAAAGAACAATCTACATCTTCAGTGATAGTTTCTTTTTTTTTTTGGTTTTTCTCCAGTACCGGGAACCGAACTCACGACCTTGCACTTGCCAGGCAGGCGCTTTTGCCGCTGAGCTAAATCCCCAGCCCCTTCAGTGATAGTTTCTATGCTAAGAGTAATTGCTTTGTATTAATTTTCCCCTAATCAGGTTAAACTGATGTCCTTTAAATGTCAAATGTAATGAATCATATCAAAATGTATTCCACTCTACCCAGTACGAAGGATGTATCTGTACAAATAGATCTTAAAACATTGGTCAAATTAGCACACTGTGTTCATAGCAACACCAGTCACAACAGCTTAAAGAAGGGAGCAACTCAAATACCTACCACTGCATGATTAAATAAGATGGGGTCCATATATACAACAGAATAACATCCAGCCTTTAAAAGGAAAGAAATTCTGATACAAACAGCAACATGGGTCAGTCCTGAAGACATTATACCAAGTGAAGTAAGCCAGACCCAAATGGTCAAATACTATATGAATCCCTCCCTAGGAGGCACTTAGAGCAATCAAGTTCATAGCGGCAGAGAGTGGGACGGTGGTCTCCAGGAGCAGGAGTACCAGGAAATGAGGGATTATGATTTAATAGCTATAGAATTTCAGCCTTGCACACTCTAAAGACAGATGGTGGTGATGGTAGTGTGACAAATAAATATACTTAATGCTACTGAAATGTACACTTGAAGTGATGAAAGTAATATAATTTATGTTATATATGTTTTACTGCAGTTTTAAAAAGGAAATTAATATATGGTTATATATGGCAGACATGTATATATATACAGCAGATTGTGTGTATATATATAGCAGATATATATATGGCAGATATAGAAAGAGATAGGTGTAGATTATAGATATAGATAGATATAGATACAGATACAGATACAGATAGATATATGTATCTTTTAGCAAAGGCAACTGGAACATTTAAAATGTGCTATTACTGGAACACAGGACAGAAAAACATGGATGAGCAGTATTTCAAAGGTGAATTCCCTAATTATCAGTAATTCTCAATGTCTCTGAAATTCAAACATCCAAATAAATCTAGGGGTTTTATTTAAAAGCCTTTTTCTTTAAAAAAAAAAAAAAAGACTTATGAGTAAATGTGTTTTATAGATGCTGAATACTACAAAGGCATTCACAATTCTGGACTATAAAGCAGGTGGTACGACAAACTGGAACTTTGCTCTACAGTACACGGCTAGTTTCTGAAACCCTTGGTAGGAACCCCATCCCACCTTCTTGGGTCGTCTCTTCTCCAGCTGCAGGAACGCTGAAGCCATCCTCATACTCTGCAGTCACGTTCACCACGTACAGGGTCTCTGGCTTCAGGTTGCTGAGTACAACGCTGGTGCTCAAGGCTGGCTCCACCACGGTGATCCTGTCATCCCCAGTGGCCTCTTTGTATGTGATGTGATAGGAAAGCACATTTTCCCCTGCAGAATCCCAGTTGGCTTTGAAGCTATTTGAAGTCACCTCAGAAAAACTAAGGTTCTTTGGAGGCACATAAGCTATTGAAAAAGAGACACAGTTTATAATTTTTAAATCTGTAAAACAAAATGGCCAATGACTACAGGTATCTGAAATGACATATATTCACTTGGGAGAACAGTCATTGAAACCAACGTACTGAGTGACTTCTCCACACATGACCTTTTGGAGACAGTCACCCCCTCACGGTCTTGCAAAGAGCTCCTAATTGTCTGTCTTGAATGTTCTGATGCTGTTATAGACGTCTATGTGAAATTGAATGTAATTTTTGAATTTTTTAAGACAAAGCAGTGGTAGACTGGACCTTCCCAAGGGTATAAATATTTAAATAAAAGGGAGCATCACAGTTTGCCTTTCATCCCCGGTACTTGGATACTAACCTTTGTTGCTAAGTAGACAGATATCTCAGAATACAACTAAGAAATTTTTCTTAGCAGAAGTGTATTTCTCAAACTAAGTCTTTCACAAACCAAATCACAAGAAGAGACAATGCGCTTCTCCTCAGGAGACATACCATCAAACTACAGAGATATGACAGCAGAAAATTACTAACAAAGAAAGCAGTAAGTAAGAACATCACGTGAGTGGAAATGATAGTGTGTATTGTACTGCTAGAACTCTTAAGGAAGGCTTGCTGAAAAGGGTGCTACTTTCAACAATATTGAAAGAGAGAATGAAGACAAATGAAGAAGAAGATAAGAAGCTCCAGATGTGTGGAATGGTGCCCAGAGGTAATCCAGAAAAAGAAATGCATAAAAGGATTCAAAGATCTAAGATCTAAGGAGCCTTCGGCCCAAAGGATGTAGCTGAATCTCCAGCACACAGTTATACTTAATAAGTGCTTACTGATTATGCCAAATAGGTGTGATAAAGCTGGATTCCAGACCTACTTGAGGATCTAGGAACAAAATCATCTGATGACTGTTATGGGTAAGCAGGTTTTCAAAGAAATAACCCATACCCAGGACAGAGACATAGCTCAGAAGTAAATACATTGAGTTCAATAATTTCCAATAACATAGGCATTGAAGAAGTGTATTACCCCACAAGGTTCTAATCAAAAGGCTTTGTTCATGAAGAAATTACTTTTTAAAAACTATACCAACCTTTTTTCTTTATAGCTGCCAATTCTTGCTCAATTCTAAGACAGATAGACTGTGTGAGTTCAAAAGATATCCTCTGAAAAGCATCAAAGTCTTCCACCGTGAACACATGGGTCTCAGCGGGAGGAGAGGCAATAGCTTCCAGCTCTGAGCGAACTGCATCCTTCACACCGACTGCAAAGATTTCAACATCTGAATTCCTCAGTTTTATGGCAGGATCTCTGAAAGCATCTGATGATTTCCCGTCCGTGATGAGAATCATGACCTTTGGTACATTGCTCCTCGAACCTTTGTTAGGCACAAATATCTTCTCTCTGACATAAGTCATTGCTTTGCCAGTGTTTGTAGATCCTCCTCTGTAGGGGAAGGTGTTTATTGCTTTAATTATATCTTCGACTTTGGTAAATTCTTTCAAAGTGAACTCAGTATGAGGATCCCTGCTATACTGGACAAGGCTTATCTGTACTCTATTTGGTGAAATCTCAAAACTTTTTGCGAGAACTTCCAAAAAGGCTCGAACTTTAACGAAGTTTGCAATCCCAATGCTATAGGAACCATCAACCAAAAACACAATATCAGCTTTTATATCCACACCACGTGAGCATTCTGTAAAGACAAAGAAAGCCTGGTAAGCTTCAAAACATAGGAATAAATAAAAAAAGAGAGCTATCTGCCTTTCTTAGCATGCTTCCCTCTTTTTATGATAAATGTTAACTCATGTTAATTGCCCAAATTCATTCCCACACATGCATATCCTATGCTTCAATCAGCCCTGCAGCCCTCTCTGCCCCTTTGCTCTCCACCCTTTCATCCCAAGCATGCTTCCCTTGAAGAAAACTGTTGCAGATATTTTGTTTAAAACAAAGTCTGAGCCAGAAGGGCATACTGTCCAAAAAGACCCACACATATCCCAAACTCAAGAGTGTGCCTTTAACTTACCCACTTGAACTTTCATGGGCTGAGTCTTTTCCATGATTGAAATGGATTCGCTAGATGTCAGTCCCTTCATGGCAGACACACTGATTTGGTATTCCATGTCTGCGGACAGGTCACGGACATTGAGCATGGTTGTCTGCGGTCCCACACTCAAAGCATGATGCCGGCCGCCCGTGGCCATTGGGGTGAGGAGGACTTTGTAGCCAGTCACTGGGCTGGGTGATGGATCCCACCTCAGTTTAATGTATTTTGATGAGACCTCAGTAGCAACCAAATTTGAAGGAGGCTCAATAACTAAAAAGTAACAAGCAGACAGTAGTTAATAGCAGCTAGGTTCAGCTCTGTTGATTAAGTTATCGATGTTTGAAGGGCTGGACCTTCAATTCTCCATCTTTAAATTAATGACGAATACATCAAGCAGACTTTTCTGACACCCTCTATCCCCTAATTCCACCTGTACCTAACAAAGCAAAAATAACAAGTGCCTGGTTTTCAGTCAGGTGGCTGAAAAGTTTAAAGACAAAGAAAGCCTTAGGAAGAAATTAGCGCTAAGACATCTGCTATGTAATCCTTCTCTGGAATCAAGATTTCCATTTTGGTTTTGGCATTTCATCCGTTACCTTTATTTTCACATCTCACAGTATGAACAACAGCGGCCGGCTGTGTAACTCAGTGAATGAGCACTTGCCTAACATGCACTAAGGCCGTGGGTTTAATCCTCAGTAACACAAGGAAAACAAGTAAATAAATAAATAAATGCAAGCATTCCAAAGTAGGTACTTGATAAGTATTTGTAAAATCAGTGATTTGCTCAATTATTTAGAAAGTTTTCCTCTTTTGCGTCATAAAAGAAAAATTGTTATCTTTAAAAGATATTTTAAACACCAAGAAAGAATGCGCATTTAACAGTTAGGACATCATAAGATTTTTTAACGATGTTAAATAACTCTAATTCTACTTAATTAAGAGTAAGAAGCGGGGGGCTAGGGATTTAGCTCAGCGGCAAAAGCGCCTGCCTGGCAAGCGCAAGGTCGTGAGTTCGGTTCCCGGTACCGGAGAAAAACCAAAAAAAAAAAAAAAAAAAAAGTAAGAAAAACAGTTCAATTATGTTCAAAAGTACTATCAGAGGTGAAAAATAAAATAAAAGACAAACTACTTGAAGATATTTCAGAAAAGTCTTCAAAATTCTAGATCCAGAAGTGGAATCAACTTCCTGAAAATATAGTATGTAAGAAGTCATACAAGAACAGGTACAAGTTGATGCATCAGCTTCATAAAAGGCACTCAGATGTGGTACATGAAATGACATTTAAATGAGAAGTCACAGAAGCAACAGATGTGGCAGCGGAGTGTTTGGCTGAAACTCCTGAGTGATGCAGAGAAAGCGCAGGGAACAGGAGGCTCAGGCTGCAACCAGGAGAAGGCCCAGGAGACAGGCATGAACCATGGTGACACCACTCACTGCCTTGCAGGAGGTTGAGAAAGCGCAGAACCAAGTTCAGCCTATCTGGCCTGCATGCAACTGGACCTCAGCAAGGAATTCGTATGTTTAAAGGTTGAACAAAGAGAAGAAATTGGAAGGGGGGAAAGACCAATTTTATAGTACAGAACAAAACAAATCAAGATGCAAAGTCCATGAAGCAATGAGAAGAAGTTGCGAAGAGTTCAGAATTAGAGCCCAAAGTGTTGGGGTTTGGAGATTCATTGCTTGGTATGATTGAAGAAGCAACTAGTTAGAAATTATCTTTAATCATTTGTCAATTCTCAGACTAGAGAACAATCATGCAAAAATATAAAATTGTGACTTTTAATGTTCAAAATGGTGCTTATGAAACGGCTTTTTCAAACGCCTCTTCTTTCTTTCATGTATTTAGAAGTAATAACTGATAGAATTGGGAAAATGTTCCAGATGTGAGAGTATCACATTGATCTTTGAAATATTTTTAAAAGGTTTTAAGCAGAGTATGATAATAGAATACCCTTGTTATACCCAACTAATAGAAACAAGATTGTTATTAAGTCATACAATGCTAAAATAAATGTCTCTCCAGCCTACCAATGTTTAAAAGAAAGGATAACATAATTAAAGAAAGTAGCAGTAGAGCCTGAATATGGATAGAAAATATGCACAACAGGCTCTTTATAAAAAGAGCAAATCAAAACTTGTTTCCCCCAATTTTTAAGAAATTTACAATGATAGAACTATTTATTGTACCTTCCACGATGGGAGGTTAATAGGAATGGTATTACCAAACTAAGTTCTGAAAGATTAATGGAGTGTAAAGTTGGATAGTCACTGGAGCATACAGGTAAGTAGATGTGTCTACTTCCAGGATGCCTGTAAAGCTATATATGCTATCAAATGCTAGTACGTGAGAAACACTCAACAAACAGTACACTCACCTTCTTCTCCACTAACCAGTTCACCGAGCTGTTCATCAACACCTGTGCACACTTGTGAGATGATCTCATTCTGAATGTCCACAATTCCGTCAAAATTGGCCACATTGAAAACATGGTTCAGAGAAGGTGTGGATGCAATTTGTTTCAGTTCTTTTGCATCTGCAGCTTTAATACCTTTAAAAAAAAAAGGCCAATGATCTATTGAAATGGGAAAGGTATGAACCTGAAGAAGTTCTTTGTTTTTGCAATCTTTTACAGCTGAATACATCTTCAAACCCTTCTGAAGTCATGAGCTAGAACTGCTTTATTTCATAATAAATGCATAACTGTTCAGAAGGAGAGGGCATTTTATAATATCACATAAAGTGGCCAGCCAAAGAAGCAATGGGTGTTTGGTAAACAGAGTGAGCTCCTACTCCAACCATGTCGTCATTTGTCTCTGCCAAAGTAATGAGAATACTTTCTTCTGCAGAATCCTGAGTGAACTGGAAACTTCAGAATTCTTCAGGCATTACATAATATAGGAAACACATAAAAAACATTTAATGATAATACAAGAAGGGTCTTATTAGAATCACTGGCCCAAGATTCTTCAAAAAGTAGAGAGCTGGCAAAGAATGTGAATATCACCTTGCTTGATGCATATGTTAAGGGAATTTATGTGGAGGAAATAGATAAGCAGAATTTTTACTCAGAGACAATTTGGCTTGATACTATACCATAAAACATAGTAAACACTTCCAAGAGCATCCTTGTTTGAGAAATCAGTTTTTCCTCTTCCTAAGTAGTATGGGTATCAAAATAGTTCTCAAATAAAATAATTAAGGAACCTAACTTACCCAGAGAGAAAACTTCAACTCCAATATCACGAAGCTCTCGGGCTGGAATTTCCACTTCATCCTGGGATTTGCCGTCCGTAATGATAATTGCCACTTTAGGAAAGCCAACTCTTGCTCCAGCAGATTCCATGAAAGTGTTTTTCACTAAATAATCGATAGCATCCCCTAAAGGGCAAAGGAACACATTCATTTGCCTTATGCTTCTCAGTTTTGCCAAAGTCAAAAACTACAGGATCAATTTCAAAGATATTAAATACAGGGCAATTGAGCAATGCTTAATTTCTTTCCAAGACAGATATTCCATTTATCACAAAGAGTAATGAAATCAGTAAAACGTACCTGTCATTGTATTGCCACCTTTGTATGGGATTTTTTTAATTGCAGCAAGAAGCTCATCCCTTTGGTAGTACTGATTTAAGTTAAATTCGGTCCTGGTATCAGAGCTGTACTGAACAACTCCAACTCTTGTCTTCTCCTCCCCAATGTCAAAAGCAGACACAAGAGCAGCAATAAAGTCTAAAATGTACTTAAAATTGTTTCTTCCCACACTCCATGAGCCATCCACAAGGAAAACTAGGTCAGTCCAGGCACTGACAGAGCATTCTGAAATATATTTGACATCTTTTTAAAATACTGCATCATTAAATCAGTCCATCCTTAAGAAATATTAGCTAACACTGCAAAAATGTTGTCCTTTAATATTCCATTCATAGAGTATGCTTAGCCATAGTTCCTGGTCCACACACATAAAAGAACATAAAATTTTATTAGCACATTCAGGGTCCTCACCAAGATGCACTTTGGAACTAGCTGTCTTCATATCACTATACAAGATATTAGACAACAAGCAATAATTGGAGATATGACATGCTTAAGAAAAATACAATTCAAGGATTCAAGATAGGCTTTCAGCCTATTTAGTTCATAAACTATATTCTCACTGTTCTCTCTAAGTAAAAATTATGTAAACTATCTGGGAGACATACAAAAGAAATATGTGTTTTAATTCTTTGGTATTTGTCAATAAATAAATACAAAACAATTACTGTGCTGTTCCATTAACTGCAACTGAGTTGAAGAAAAGAACATTTTGTAGTATTCTATTATATTTTTTCAATATACTTGTCTAAAGTTCGCAGTAGGGTTAGATTCTAGACAGTTAATGGAGTCCAAGCATAAATTAATGCAAAGTAACCAAAATATCTTATCCTAATTGTCAACCTACTCAAGTTTGACAACTAAAACCTACTGTACTACGAAAGAGAAAATAATCATTTTATCCAAAAATTAAGACTCCATATGGTACCCTTAAAGTGCTTCAAGGCAGTGATCAGCTTTTATAACCAAATACATTTTCCTTCCTCCTCTGAATGGTGTATATGCAGGTTGATGTCCACAGAAATTTGTATTTCTGACTTTCTTTTGTTTCCTTTTTTTTTTTTTTTTTTTGGTACTGGGAATCGAACTCAGAACCTTGTGCTTGCCAGGCTGGTGCTGTGCTGTTAAGCTATACCTCCAGCCCCAGAAATCTGTATTTGTAAGGCAATGCTAAGTGGATTTTCTGAAGATGTTTTTATCCTTTTAGGTAGGTGGACTGGGAAGAGAAAGAGAGAGTCCTGGAAAGTTTTGAAAGCCAGATGCAAGTTGCATGCTTAAATAATTTTTGCACAGTGTTTAATAGACCAATGTAAGTCTATCAAAAAGTCTATATTTGGCATAGCGCTTTGATTTAGGATAAACACTGATGCCTCGGGGAAAGTATTGGAGTTGTAACTTCATATTGTAAACCTCATTTCAGGTTACATATTAGACATCTGAAAGAATGACAAACAGAGATCTGGATAAAGAGGTTTGTGTTTATAGTCTTTCTATTGTCATTCTGGGATGTAAATCCAACTATCACAAAGTGGGAAAATCAGAAGGTCAAGGAAACTCCTTAAGAGTTCATCCTAGTAAGTCAGACAAAGCCATGTGAGACAAAAAGAAGCTCATAACCATGAAATCTACCCTAAATAAAATTGCTTTCATCTAATTACACCAATTGCACCAATTTATCAGTGTTGTCTTAGAGAAACTCTAGAGAGGTTGAAAAAGCCGCCATTGACTCAGACAATGTAAATACCCCAGAGATGAGCACAACACCCCCTTCAGCCTTAGAAATTCACCTTCTTGCTAGTTGAGTTGCCTCGCCATCAATAGTGTGTGTTTCTCTACCTTTTGTTTCCCACACATCACTAAATGCCACCTGTTTCTACCAGTTTATTTTAGAATGAAAAATTTGCTAGAAAATCAGAACTTAACTTTCATAGCTATCTAATTATACATTTCTCATACTGTCTGTGCTCCATCTAGATAAACCTTATAGAAAGTAACAAAAGAATAAGATTGATCTTTGTATATAATTGAAACATTCCTACATGTTACTAACTACTACAAACAAATTCAAGCCAAAGTACAGGGAAACACTCACTTTGTATCTCTTTTTTTCCAGGTTTCTTCTCTGGCTTTGATGGACCACCTGTTTGAACTGAATGAAAACCTCGTTGTTACAATGGGAAATGAAACCAAACAAGTAATTCATAATAAGAAAATAAATGTATTGTTTTTGCCCACTGTCTTTCAAATGGTTGTGGCTGACTGATCAGACTGCCAAGTAGCATTCCCTTGCAAATTTACTGTTGTTAGTGAAAATTTACAGATATTTCTAAAAGACTTTAACATTATTGCCCAGCAAAGTTTAACATTTTCAGTAATTTTCATTCAGACAATTTCTACTGCTTCCAGAGATGTGGAATGAATTATTTATATCCACTAATAACTAGGGTCACAGAAGAATTACTAATGCTCTTATAAATTGGCTATAGAATAGGAAATTCAATGTGGAATTGGAAAAAAATCTTCTGCAAAAGAAAAATCTGAAAACACTTGACTATATTTATATGCTTACTTGTTAGTTGGCCTATAACTGGTACACTTTCTTCTACTTCATCATATGAAGTTATTGTCACCACATATTCTATTTCAGGTATAAGGTCAGATAATAATGTTTCAGTGGTACTAGCTGCCAAGGTAAATTCTTTGGTGGGACCATCTAGAAATGTAGAAAAGAGAAATATGAATACAACAAGTCATTTTTAAGTATAACACTAGCCAAGATACTATAACTTTCAGATGTATTCAAAAATCTGAAAGATTCAGCACATACTTTTTTCATATCATCCAAACATTATTTTTTAAAAGCAGGACCTTGAATTTTAGAAATTCAATAAGTGTACTGGCCTTGCCTTTACTTGTTATAATAATATTCAATGTTTTCTTAAGGCTCACATTTCTCCTAGATTAAAAGAATATCAAACCAAAAACACCTCATTGCTTTTGAAGATGAATGTACATAACAAAATTTTATGAATTTTTATGAATGAAGTAAAACAGAGAATAATTTCCCATTGCACTCTGGAGAATGAAAAGAATGGATAGAATTAAAATCAAGGAGAACAAACCTCATAGGTTTGAACTGGCCCTTAGTGAATAACAACTTACATGGAAATAATGTATCTTTCATGCTTAAATGAGCATATATCTCAATAGGTAACCATGCCCCTTTGAATTGACTTCATTCAGTATCAAACATTTCAAGGTACATTATATGTTTATTATATAGTGACAATGTAGTTCCATCCAGATTCTGCTAATTTTCAAGTCAATCCAAAAATACTCTAGCTCCTAGGGGCTAACTGCCTGCTAGTATTTTCAATTACATTAAATTTTCACTGAGACATTAGGAAAGGTAGCATGTGTAACAGAATCCTGAGAAATGCTACAGAATCGCATATGGAACATGCAAAACCAACCAGTGCTTCAGAAGACAGACATATTGTGTGATCAACTTTGCATGCCTATATCTGGTCATCTGAGCAACTACTTTGAAGATAGCAATATAATAACCATTGTTAATTTCCTATCATCTTGTTTTGAAATTCTGATTGTTTTCATTGGGTCTTTTTTTTTCTTTCTCTTTAAAATGAAAAAAGACATTGGGGACCTGATGGATGAGGAACAGCCTGAACAAAGTTTTGTAAGTGCTGGGAGATAGTAATTTCCAATTCCTAGAAACTGGATGGAGCCCATTTGAATTGTTTTTTGCTTTGGAATAACTGCACTACTTAGCTGCAAATATATCTGAGAAGATTCAAAGAGAGAAAAGTAAATTATTGATCCTTGGTTAAGGTCTTACATCATATTTCTTCCAAAGTTCCCTGATTAACTTTGGTATTTTTAAAGCCCAAAGGATAAGTAAACACACCTCTGGTGATGTTATTTTGCCATTATCCATCTCTACTATCAGCCAATGAAGACATCTTACACTTGGCCGGGGAAATGGTTAATTTCCCACTCCATCTTGGAATTAAAAGTTAATCAACACACCTTGGTTCTCCATACTTGGACAATATCACTAACTAAAAAGATAAAAATGCTTACGAACAGTCAGAACAACTTTGGTTTGGATTGGGATGGATTTGGTTGGGTTTCCCAGGACTCAACCTAGGATCTACAGAATCCACCCAACCAAACTACAGTCTTGTCTACAGCACTGTCACTCAGCATCCTAGAATAATGTGTCCTGACTCTAAAATGGTCAGGATTCTGGGTAAGGTGTAACAATTTCAATGCTCAGTATGGACACCATACTAAAACACTGAAAATACTGAAGTAATTAAAGAAGAATGCCAAAAGTAAGAATTCTATTGGATAAGATCAAAGATTACTAGCAATGTTCTGAGCAGGTAAAAAAATTAAAAGTCCATTTGTATTAACAGCACCTTAGCACAGAAAAACCTACTAACAAAGCCGACATCATAAAAATAGAAGAGTGGGTGCTAGGCTGGAACTCCATAATCCACCAAACATCTGGTTATATCAACCAAATCCTTCAAGCATGCTAAATTGTGGCTCCTTCATGATGAAATGGGAAGAGATAGGATTATATATCTTTGACACCTGTGTCTTAAATCCCCCAACATCTTGAAAGTTACCTGTAGTAGGGTCCACTGTTATTCTGTAACCCACAATTGGATCAACTGGTTTTTCCCATGACATATGAACAGTATTTTCATCTATAATTTTAAAATTCAAGTCTGAAGGTGGGTCAACTGCAAGAGAGAGAGTTGATATTAGTTACATTTTCCAGTGTCGCAAAGTGGTCAGCATGATAAAGAATTGTGTTGAGCGAAGCTTACTAAAGTTGTCTTTGCATAAATTTGTTTCCAACAAATATAAAAGATATCTTGTTGGATAGGAATAAAATTAAAAGCTGACAAGATATGACAAAACATCAGAGAGTATACATATTACAGAAGACAGCACAAAACACTTTTGATTCTTGAGTTGCTAGGTCATTCAAGAATGTCCAGCAAAATCAAGCATAATAGAAACATATTTTGCTACAAGTACATACAAGTGCAATGAAATCACATATAATAACCACATATGCAAACAATCCACACAAAAATTAAAAGAATCTCAATACATGCTGAGTGTATTTTGAACAAGCATGCCAAATCACAACCTGCTTACAACCTTAGAAGTTAATTTAGAACATTGACATAATACTTTTTTCATAATGTGGAAAGGATTCAATGATTTCTTGGTTCATTCTCTGCATTACTGCCTTGTTATGAATTATTGTTAGATACCTCTCAGTCTGTGGCAGAGAGAAAACTATTTTCATGAAAAGGAGAAATCATAGGAAACAGATATGTCTCACATGGAAATATACATTTAAATGTATATTCACGTGGATATAGACAAATATTCAAAATAATAATAAGAGACATTAATTTATAAGTATATAAACAGTGGCATACAGATGTTTATTATACCAATATTCTGCCTGTTTACACCAACTTGCTTATGTGTTTCCAAGGTGTAAACTAACACTGTTATTTCCTTTGCAGCAGGTATACACCATACTAAAAATGGCATTTTAAGTTAAAATGCCAGTATGGTCCTTTGCAAGCAATGGTTAATTATGAAAAGACAACACCAATGGATATTTATGACATTTATTTACAGAACTTAAGGAAATAAGTGAAGAAAGATCAGCAATCGGAAGACATGACTGCGCATATAAATTTGGATAAGTCAATGACAGGAATAACTAAGAGTACACAAAGGCATAGTTTACATACAAAACTGTACAGCCTCATGCATGTGCCAATGAAATGCTGACTTCTTTTTAGTTTCCCACAATGAACAAAAGCCTCCATGTACAATAGTCATTACACAAAGACGTTTCTGAAATATTTTACAATGATATTCTCTCTGCAAGGTTCGTGCACCAGCATGCGGCACTATACTGGTCACTGTCCGTGCATGGCCAATGCATGAAACATGACTACATGGGAAGCAGAGCCCTAAAATAATGTCCAGCCACACTTTTATTACAAGGCTTTTAACCTGAAAGGATTCCTTGTCAGTTTGAATTTTTACATTCGTTTTGAGAGATGATAGTCTCCTCTTTGATTTTTATAAAGGTCAATTGAAATACAATACTAGCTCGAGATGGGAATCATAGAATTTAACTGGGGTTAGAAGTCTACAAAATATTAATAGTATGTTTTAATGGAAATAAGACAAATTAAGAAAACATCTGCTGTAATGAATTTCTGCTTCCAACTCTAGCAGATGACTCTATTTTTACTGGATATACTAGTACAGAAATGAATGTTATTTTCTTATCCATACACAGGCAGTGAGATTAGATTATTAATCTACATGCATATTTCAACAGTTCAACAGTCTTCTGTCTGTAATCATTATTACAAGGTTTAGCTGAAATCATCACTTAGTATAACAAGCATGCAGCAAATGTTAATAAGACAATGATATGAAGAATATCATTATAAAATATTTCTCCAATAGCAATGGCTCAGGACAAATTTAATGCAAAGGCAGACACAACTGGCCTGAGCATGCTTTGAAAAAAAACCAGTACATGGAAAAGCAGTACCACCAACCTTGGAAGGAAATTGACCTGAAGCAGCGGACACTAGGTTAAAACTGCTGAAGGTCAGCAGCGGCCCACCTTGTGGATGTTCAAATGGCCAGGATTCCAGATAAACTGAAAAATTGACTGTGGGGAAAAGTCTGTAACATTTCAGAGGAGTTTAAGGTGCCCATAGAAACTCAAATGTGGTGTTTTGGAATTGATCTTAAGAAAAAAGGCCAAGTGGCGTGTGTAAGCAGACAGCCACTCCCGTTTTCTTCTTGCTGGTTTTATCACGGGTACCATCTCTCTGGATTACTATTGTACTTATACATTTTTGCTTCATGGAAAAATAATAAAGTTGCTGTGAGTGTGTGACCTATGTGTATTTAAATCAATGTGAGGATATATTTTTATTAATTTGCAATATCTTTTATATGAGAATAACCCACATTATACTGTCAGAGAGTCTACATGTTCCCTAATACAGTGCTGATGCTGGAATATTTTAAAGAGGAAATATGTGAACATATGGCTTACAATTGCAGAGCTAAAGTTTCATAGGAGAATCTGAAACAAGATCTAAAATCAGAAATAAATAAGTAACAATCTATGGATATTCATAAAACCTGAGTACTAATAAAGACTAAAACTCCATGTATTTATAATTCTAATAGTTTAATTTCATACTTATGAATAATGTTCTTATATCAAAACATGTCTAATGAAATTTTTATATGTAGATTGGCAGGGTTTAAGACATTTTAGGATGGTGATCTTAGAATAATCTTCGTGAGTATCTTCTGTGTAATAAGTACAGAGCTCATCACTTGGTATGGTATGTATTTTCTTCCTTATGACAATGGAGTAGTAGTTGTTATTATCCTTGTTTTACAGACAAAATTCAAGAGAGGTTAACACAACTAATAGGGGGCAATACTTTTATCCCATGGTCAAACTCTAAAGCATATTTTCTACTGCACTAAATTAAATGTAAAAAGATTTCATTCAGAATTAGGTTTAAAACCAGTATTTGCATGTTGTTGCCTGTTGCTATCTACGTACATATTTTTCTACGCTATGAAAAATTATTGGAGGAATAAATGCTGTCTGGTAAATAACAAATATATGGTATGCAGACTTCTCCAACTCAGATATAGACAGAATTGGCTATATTAACTTCACACTTGTTCAAGCAATTTTGAAACTAAAGTGTCTGTCTTGATACATAATAAAGGAAAACAATTATTTTCCACTAGACTCCCCACAGGAGTCTATGTCCCAGAATTTGCCAAACATTGGGCAGGGATGGATGGATGGATGGATGGATGGATGGATGGATGGATAAGTGTGGAAGGAAAATACTAATAAACTTTATTAAGTGTATATAAATAATACACATACAGCAATGCTGAGAGTAAACAGTGGAATACCATCTCAATGAACTAGTAAGACACTTAGTCTATTGATAGAATAGTGGAAGGATATTACCTAATGATAAAACCTTTACCAGTATGCAAAGTGTGAAGAATTTACTATATTCCACAGGTATTATCTATATTTTCCAAAGTTTGTATAAATTAAATGCTGTTTGAAATACTGTCAAAATTTGCTTCACTTATGCTCACAAAATACCGAAACTAAACACTTGAAAATTTAACATTTGGGGCAGGCAATAGATTACTTTATATATGTTATAAAGTTACAAAATGTGCTTTCATTAAACTGACAAGGTTGACCAGTTGTGGAGTTTAGTGTGACGAAATCAGAATTAAATTTGTACTAGAAGTCATGGGTTTTGTCTGTGCTTTGCTTCTAGGCGCATTAGTTGATAAATTTATTCAACCTTTCTGGGCCTTATTTCCTCATTTGGAAAAGAAGACATTCAAACAGATGCTCTCTAAGTTCTCCTCTAGCTTGAAATTTCTTTAGTAATATATATCACACATAGGATTATAGAAGTATATAGTAGTTAGCTTCTTAACCAAGATGAAAGACAAAGCTTATGACCTCGACTTCCTCATAAATTGATAATATTCAGTTGTTCATTATGTACTATAAACTATAAATATGACTTACAAAAATTAAAACTCTGTTTCACAAAATTTGTGTCCATCTAACATTCTAGATTAATTAGAAAGGTGTCCAATTCTCGGGAATGTTGGCCATTTTCCTTTAACTCCAGTGTTAAATTTTCAAAAACATAATTAACATATTATATGACATAGGAGCCAAAAATAATTCACATACTCTACACCATAGAAAACACTGGCCAAATTATAAAAGTCTCTCCTGTAGCCAAAGATTATAAATACTCAAGACAGAAAAATTATTTTCAGGGCCAGAGATATAGCTCAGTGGCACCATGTCTGTCTAGCAAGTGCAAGGTCCTGAGTTCGATTCCCAGTGACAATAAAAAAAGAGAAAAGAAAAATTATTTTCACCTTTATTTCTGTATAATATACCATAGCATGAAAAATATAATTTTTCATATAAGGAAACAGAAGAAAAACAAAAGAACAAATGTAGTATTATAGTAAAAAAAAAAAAATGAGAAAGAGGCAAAAGGCAAATGGCAAAACCTTTCAATTAATATCTCCAAAAAGGTATTGGGTGTTCCACATATTAAAATTAAGTAATTAGAAAATGGTGAGAAGACAGTAGGAATACAAAAATACAGTATGAGTCAGAAAAAAAGAAAAAGAAAGAGTAACTATGGCTACTTTAGGACTAGGGTCAAATGGCACAGTACCAAACAGAGGTGCAAGTTGAAATTCTGAAATGTTCCAACAGAAAAATTTCAAAATTTCTGTTTCCAGCTCATTGTCCCCAAAAAGGCTTTGGCCACAAATCTTGTTAGAATTTCCAGGCTCCTGGGGCCACTTAATTGGTGATTAACACCAGAGCTGTGTTGTCCAGCCCTGAAGCAACCAGCTCATGCGGCTGTCCAGTTCCTGAAATGCGGCCAGTGTAAAGCAAAATGTGAGCTGGATGTTGTGGCGTATGCCTGTAATCCCAGCACTCGGGAGGGTGAGGCAGGAGGATTGTTGCGAGTTCAAGGCCAACCTGAACTGCATAGCGAGACCCTGTCTCAAAAAGACAAAATATAAAAAATAAAACAAAATGTACTGCGAACCTAAATGCACACCCACCTTTAAAAATTTGGTATAAAAATGCAAATACAGCACTAGTGATTTTTACATTGATTACATGTTGAAACAGTCACTTTACGTCAAATACAGTATATCATAGAAATGAACTGCTCCTGTTTCTTTTTCTTTTTTAATACTAGAAAGTTTTAAGTTGCATATGTGGCTTACACTTGTGACTCATATTTCCACATGACAGTGCCAAACTAGAAAATAAGGCACCAAAAAAATGAATCCTATTGAAAAATACTGACCTAAAAGACTAGAAGTCAAGAGAACATAGATACAGCTTAAGAAAGCAAAGCAAAGAACTATATGCTATGGACACTGGTACAACTTCAAAAGAAAAGGAGAATTCTAGAAATAATCAGGATGAAAACAGTGAAATATTCTTTTTACCTGCAGTTTACTGACTAGCCATTGTCCAAGTCAGAATTGATTTTTTTTCCATTTTCATCTTTTCTAACTTATGCTTCTCCTAAGAATTCACAAATGTTTTATTTTCAAATAACAATTTCCTAGTCAACAATAAGGGGGCCACGTCTGTGAATTGCCTAACAATATCTGCAGTAGTGCTTCTAGAAGTCCCTCAAACAAAATTCCTTGCTAAGGAGAGGAGAAAGGGTCCCAAGGCCGCCTCACCTGAGGATCCCCGCAAAGAAGCCAAGAGTCGCTCCCCTCACAAAATGCTCAAAGGACGCGAGCCAGTGAGAGGACAGCTTACAGGAGAGCTTAGAGGTCATGTATATGAATTGTCTTATTTTTAGTTTTTTTGTACCTGCAGTTTTGAACTAGAAACTTTTCAGAAACCTCACTGTGTCATGCAAAACTCCTGCTTTCCCATGGCTTCTATAAAAGTGCAGCCCACCCTGAAATCACAACTGGGCCTGTAGAAGTCTTTCTCCCCTCACTTCACCGGGGGTGTTTTTTAAAATTAGCTACCTTTGATGACGTTGCTGATTTATCTTGCAGAGTAATACTGGCTTGCCTGGTCTCCAGTGATCGCTGAGAAAAGTTCCCTTGGCATTATAGAAAGGGTTGATCAGGGACCCCTGAAACTCAAGAGTATCCAACGGGCCCAACAAAATGAACAGCAAGTTTGCGAGTCTGCCCAAAGCCCGATCTTTCTCTAGGGAGCCCTGCGGCTCCCAGCCGGGGCGCGGAGGTCAGACACCCGAGGTCCCAGAAGGAGGCTGATGCAGGCGGGGCCGGGTGGCGCCCCGCCCCGCGGTGCTGTGGGGCCGGAACGCGGGTCTCCGCGGCGCGCCCTGACACGTGGAGCCGGGGAGGCGCGGCCGGAGCTCGTCGTTAGCGGTGTCCCCGGGTCTCAGCCGCGGTCGTCCTCGGTCGGTCCTGGGCGGGCGGCGGTGTGGACAGCACACCGCGGGGACTGGCGCAGGGAGCCGGCAGCGCACACGGAACTCGGGGTCAAGCAGAAGACAGAAAAGGCAGAGCCGAGCGCTGGAGACGACAGAGCGCGGGAGGAGAGCGCCAGCAGGACAGCGGGACAGAGAGGACAGCGGGACAGAGAGGACAGCGGGCCCCCTCCGCACTTGCAGCGAGGTGGGCGGGAGCAGGAGCTTTACCTTCTGCCTCGACGGCCGTCAGGAGCAGCGCCGCGCCCAGGGCGGCGAGCGCCGCGGGGAGCCGGGTCCGCATGCTGGCGCTGAGCTCGGGCGCGCAGAGAGGCTGTGGGAGGAAGCGGGGCCATCGTTACCAGACCGGCAGCTGGGGCCGGGCACACCTGGAGCCTGGACCCGCCCAGGGCCCGGCCCCCAGCAGAGTCACGACCACAAGTCGGCCATCGCCCGGAGACGGAGCGCAGGTTCAGAGGGTCCTGTGTCCCTTGCCAGGGTCCTGACACCCTCTGGAAGGCCTGGCAGCCCCGCGTGCCCCCTCCGCTCTGCCTGGGTGATGCTGACCCTCAGTCCTCATCCCTGACTCCACTACCTGCGTCTCTCCCAGCCGGGGTTTCACTAGGCTGCTTTTCCTAGCTGCTAACCTCCCCAGGTCCCTGTTCCCTGCTGGTCTCAGAGTAATTTGGAAAAGCATAATAAATCTCTTTTACTCTTTTTTTTTTTTCCTTCTTCTTTTTTGGCCTGGGAGTATGCAGGTCTTCCAGGTCTGAAAAGGATTACACAGATCTATGTAAGGCCAGGCTGAAACCTGACTGATTGTTTGCCAAAGGTGAGAGTTCACAACTGAAATACATAATAAAAAGAGGTGTGGGAATAGAAGAGGAAAAGCATGCTTGTCTGTTTTCCCCAAATATTTTTAATAAAAAGTCCTAGTAATAAATATTTGCATTTTACTCTTCATTTCTCTTGGAAAGCTATGGTTATATATGTCCAGAGATGTTCTATTCTGATTTTTTCTGATTCTGTGACTAGATTATTAAATTTTTAAAAATAAAGCATCCTGGGCTGGGGATTTAGCTCAGCGGCAAAAGCGCCTGCCTGGCAAGGGCAAGGTCGTGAGTTCGGTTCCCGGTACAAGAGAAAAAAAAAAAAAAAAAGCATCCTACTCATCTTTTGCGGTTTCCCAACACACAGTAGGTTTTTAATCCGTCACCAGAATGGAATCTCCTAAAATACTCTAAGGCCAATCTAGAGACAATAGTTACTAGCAATGCCAGTAGCACGAAGTTGAGTCTGAAGAAGAGTTGACTGCTGTGGGCTTGCAGGCTAGGGCCTCCTGGAAATGGAGACGAAAGGGTCGGTGCTTGGAGATCCAAAGGTCAAACCTTCCTTGAGAAAAGAAACCGAGGATCTCCAACCAAGTCTTTGCAAATTACTGGCACAATGCCCTGGGCACCTTTCCTTTACCTGAGTGTAAATTGCCTTTTAAATGTCTGAGGAGCAGGCTGCCAAGCTGCCCGGAGCTCCTTTGCATGAGGCCAAGATTAAAGTCTTGGCGCTGCTCTGAGGATCTAAGGACTCTCGCAATTGCTCTCTTCCCAATTAACTGTTTGACATTTCTAACCCTCTTCTCCATCCCTGAGTGAAAAGCTGAAGGTGAGACTAGGCCATTGTTTCCAGAAATCTGGCCATAGCTTCGCTCTGATTATTTTTCAATTCCATTGGCATCCGTGCTCACGAAAAGCTAAAGGCTGATGATAGACCCATTAAAGGCCGTGTGCAGTTTTTTGTTGTTTTGTTTTGTTTTGTTTTGTTCTTTTGTTTTTAATCGAACTCATCAAAAGCTTGAGGCTGGAAACACTTCTGCCTAGGTCTAGAGCGCCGCCCACCGGCTGCTGGGAGGCACCAAGAAGGAATCGTCTAGCCCTGGGGTGTCTAAAGGCGGTCGGCTCAATCAGCCAGGCGTCTTGTCCATATTTTTACAAAGAAAATATTTTCTGTTCTTTTCAGCCCAGACATTTACCTGCCTGCTTAGCAGCACTTCATTGCGCATTCCCAGACACCAGCGTCTGAAAGCGCCCGCCCCTAAGTGGCAGCGAGGTGTCCACCCCCAACCCCCAGTTTTGCCCTGATGAATGACAGTGTATGGGGGACTGTGCTTCGGAACCCGGCCTTCTTGGGTCCATTCACCCTTCCACCCCTGCGCCTCTGCCAGACACCAATCCCTCAACTCTCTCTCCAGGTAAAAAAGAAATCACGTATGTATAGGTGCGCACATGCAGGGTCTCTCAAAGTATCCTGCGTGTCTATCGCCCACCTCCTCCCGCCTTAGACCCTGGTAAGCCTGGGATGAGCTGAGTACTCACTTCCTGTCCTGCCCCACCCCAGCCCAGCTTTCTTTAAGTCTGCAGAGTTCAGATTTGGGGGTGGGGGGATCACTCGTATGGTCCTAGAGGAAGCTGGTTCGTTTCCCAGGTCCCGGGTCCCGGCTCCACAAACCAGCTCCCCTTCCCCCGCTCTCTGTGGTCCTCCTACTGTAGGATTCCGGATGGTAGCGGTCTCAGAGATCTCAGAGATCTCACAGACTCCGAGAAGGACCTCACCCACGCTTTGCGAGAAGCCACCAGGTGGAGGCCAGGAAAAGGGGCAGGGAAATGGCCCGGGTCCTGCGGGGGAATCAGTCTTCAGATGCCACACGCGCCCGTGCAGCCGGAGCGAGCTGCAGAGAGCTCCAAGGCTCAGAGGACCCCGCGCAGAGCGTCCCCAATACAGGACAAAGCCCGCCCAGCTGGGGCGTCTCAGGGCTCGCAGCCACCGCTCCCGGACGTGCCGCACTGTGGTCCACAGCATCTGTAGACCGAAGTCTTTCGCCTGGCACCACACCGAGCAGGGTGCCGTGCGCACGCAGGTCCCTGGGCGCCACGGCAAGTCTTCAGCACACCTCCACTCATTGATCTACAGAGCCCTTATCTAGAGCAAGCTTCCCACGCTGTCTTTCAGGAGGGCCAGGTAGAGGAAAGTCGACAGAAACTGGACTTACCCCGGGCTGCGGAGACAGAGGTAGCGGCCGACTCCTCGCCCCCCAGCGGTGGCGCAGCGTCCGGGGATCCCACGCGGCCGAAGTGCAGACAGCAGCAGGGAGGCAACCGAGGAGCAGGAGGAGGAGGTTCCCCGGAGGAGCGCGGACTATCGGGGCTCAGGAGTAGGATCCCGGGAGGAGCGAGGGGCGTTCGGAGCGCAGGAGGAGGAGGGTCCCGGGAGGAGCGCTAACAATCAGCACGCCGAAGCAGGACAGCCCCAGCCCCGGGAGCAGCGCGGATGATCGGGGCGCCGCCGCCGCCGAGTGGCAGAGGCTCCTTGCCCTGCGCCTTAAGAGGGCTGCTCCCGGCTCTCAGCTTACTGGGTTACGAAACTCCGGGAAGGTGGAAGGCTGCCACGGGTGAGGTCTGCTCCTCCGGCGGGAAGGAGGTCCGCTTTGGGAACGCGTGCATACCTCGAGCATTCCTTAGGCGTGAGGTGGCGGTCGCCGCAGGAGCTGCCCCCCGGGGGCGGGGAGAGGGAGGAGGAGCGGGGACGCCGCGGCCGGGCTCTCTGCCAGCGGAGCGCGCTCCTCCGCAGGGGCGGGCGGGGGCTCGGGTTTCCCCATTCGTGCGGGATTCTTTAATAGTTTGATTTTGCTAAAATAAGAACAGTGAGAAAGAGCTTCGCATTTTCACAACAGCAGGATGTGTAGCTCATTGGCGCCCACTCTATCCCACTTCAACTCGTCCTTCCCTCGTCTACCTTCCTCCCCCTGCGTCCTGGGTGCGCTAAACTGATTTCCAGGGTTTCCATGAACTAACTGTCTGCGCGCGCGGCCAGCCTGCTGTCTGTCCCGTCTCCAGGCCGCGCGAGCGGGCTCAGAGCTGGGGTGGCCTTCCCGGGTCTGTCTCCCCTGGCGCTGAGCTATGGACTTGGGAAACTTCTTCTGAGCCAAGAGGGGTGCAGAGGAGAGCTGTGGAACCTTGGGGTCCTCAGAGCCAGAGCCAGAAGACACCCAAGAATGAGGTCCAGTGGTAGAATGTTTGCCTAGAATGTATGAGGCCCTGAGTGTAATCCTTACTACTGCCAAAAGTAGAAAATAAAATAATATCACCTAAAGGAATGAGGTTCGTCCACTTTGGAACATCCTCTCCCGGTTAAAAGTGAAAACTGGCCCCTTTTTACAAGTCCTCATTCCCAGAGCTCACCCCTGGCCCTGAGCAAGAAGTCGGGCCTTGGAGGTTGCTACAGGGCACAGGGCACACAGTATAAAGGAGCAGCTGCAGGCCAGAAGACCATCTGGAGAGGCTCTGAGCAAGTCTGCGTGCCCATCATAGGCCTAAACCTTGGACCCGAAGGCCCAGCAAGTCCTTACAAGTGTGAGGACCAAGAGCGGTTGGGGGTCTGTCTACCATGGGGCTGGGGAGATGGCCTCTAAGCGCAGAAGCGTGGCTTTGTCTCCTGTGAGCCCCTCTCTCTCCTTGGAGCTGACCTCTACATGCTTAACCTTCCCTCCCCTGGGCTCCATCACTTCAGAAGGAAACGTGCCTTTAAAGTGGCAGACACATACCAGGCGCCCTTTCCACCCTCCCGCACCTGGCCTGGCCTATTATTTGCCTCCAGGTCAGGAGTCCAGGCCCGGCGGGAGAGGATCGAAAAAAATGCACATTCTCCCCGCGCCCAGCCCACTCGAAGCGCAGCTGGCAGCGTGCACAAAGAGCCTACACAGTGCATAGCCTCCGCCCCCGGTTCACTGGCCCAGACACCCAACCAACACTACCGCGCGCGTCCTGAGGACGGTCACACTGCCCGAGTGGGCCGGTAGCAGCTTGGTTCGGTACCAGCGAGCCCCTATGTGAAGTCTTTTTTCACCCCGGGGGTGCAGGTCACCTCACTCCACATAACACGCACAAAGCGCGGAGCCTCTGCAGCCTGGCCCTCCGGTTCCGGCTGTGGCGGAAAGGACGCGGGAACAAAGTCCCGGCCACCGGGTTGCACGGCGCTGGGGACACCCTGACCGGCTGCCGCCTGGGAAGCCAGAGCCGCCCCGGACCAGTCTGCAGAGGAGATCGCTCTGCCAGCCGGGCCAGGCTGCCTGAGGATCGCATTTCGCCCAGATGTTTTCTCTGAGCGGTGTGTGCGCACGCGTGTGCATATGTGTGCGCGCGAGCGAGGGGGGAGCACGCGGCTCTGAGTGTGTCCCGAAGGTGCTCCCCTGGGGCTTCCCGCTCCCTCCTGGGGCCACAGACCTCGCAGCTCAGGCATTTGTCCAAGAGGACTGTGGCGCTTCAGCTCCGAGCTGCACTGGGGGCGCGCCTGGAGGCGTCTCCGGGGCTCCGTATTCTGCTCACAAACTAGACAGGAGGCACCTGAAACTACACTGGCAAATGCGGGTCGGGAGCGCACACAAAACAGCTCCAGACGCCCTGCTCGCCCAGGAAAATGACCCCTGCCCATAACTCCAGAGTGGGATGAAGGAAGGAAGAAGAGGGACGGGCAGCGCGGACATCCGTCCCCAGACCTCCCGGGCACACTCCTTGGGGAGGGGGACACTCGCTCCAAACGCCCCCAGGGGCTCCGGGCCTCGGCCACACCCGCAGTTTTTGGTTTCTGGGACCTTTGCTTTGGACGCCAGATGTCAGATGCCTGAGGCTGTGAAGACTCTGGGATTCCCTTTCCGCGCCGTGCCTTTCCTTTCCGGGTGTGTCCAGAGCTTCACGCCTCTGGGACGCGTCCGGGCTTGCGTTAAATTGGCGGTGTTCGTGGTGCAGGCAGAGCTGCGCGTGTTTCTTGCATCTGGCTGCTGCCGGTGCCCCGCATGCCTCGCGGTCCGCAGCTGCCCTCTCCTGCTCGCACCTCGTCCCCCTTGGAGTCCCGGGCTCCCTGCGGCTCCCGCCTCGGCTCTCTTGTCCCACAGCGCTATCTGGCGGTCAGCGCGGACGCAGGTCAAAATCAGGGATGGAGAACTGTGGCCCAGTGGACGGGTTGACAAGCCCTGAGGTGGCTTCTCCCACACGTGCCATTTATCTGTCTGATTCTCCAGACCGAGAGGCCGCAGGATGGAGACCAGGGGAGAGGGACACAGAGTCTTTCTTTATGGCCGTTCATAAGCCGCCCACAGAAATCCTTCCCCCTCCGCTGTGAGGTTTGGGTCGTTTTCCACTGAAGAAGCAGTGGCCAAGGGAAAAGATCTGACTGCAGGAGGAACACAGCGCCGCCCTAATTCCAAACAGGGCAAATGGACTGGGCCTGCTCAGCCTGTGTGCCTGGCCACAGGCAAGAAGTTTCTGGGTGTTCCGTGGGGGCTTCTGGCTGGCTACATCGGGCGGGGTATCTTGGGGTGGAAGGAGCAGCTTATCATCCAGAGCGTGGCTTCCCTGGCAGGGGTTGGGGAAGGAAGCACACAGAACCCAGGGCCTTGAGGTGAGGTGTGCAGACAGGCCCCGTGCTCCACACGTTCTGTTCCTCTGAGGCAGAGACAGCCTGGGCCTGGCCAGGGCCAGCCCAAAGTAGTGTGTGTGAGGCCGCTGTCTTAACTACTGCATGTAACTGTATGCAGCTCAAGTGTGTATTTCATGAGCATTGTCTGTGCACCTCTACAGGGGTGAGTTCAGAGCAGTTGATAGACAGTGACGACAAAGCCCTATCCCCCAAACTCTGCCAAGGAACACCTGGGACACCTGAGCAACCCCTCATGGCCCACTTAAATCTCCTGGGAGAGTGCATCCTCATGGTGCTTCCTAGTGGAAGCAGGACGCATTCAACAGTCACCCTCCCTGCACTTTTGAAGCATAGGAATCTGAGGCCTACAGCCGTGCTTAAAGGCAGGTACTGGGGTGCACTACACACCGTTGCCTCCATGACAGTTTCTGCTTTTAGAGTACCTTTTCAGTGAGGCCCGCAGGCTTTGTGCTGACTTGGACTGAAACACAACCTCCCGACCCACAGCATGAGCAATTTTGGAGCAAAACGCAGAAACTGCATCGTGTTTATCGTCCTACTCAAAGTGGCTAGCTCAAAGTTCATGTGCCTGCTAAAAGTTATGGTTGTCTAGAAGTCGTCCAGCTCACTGCCTAATAGATTGAAATGCAGCAACGCAGCATGGTCGAAGAGATCTCAGTTCTCTCAGTCGGAACTTCTGCATAGGACGAACTGTAACTAAATGCTCCATTTCCTAATGTATTTTTATATAGTTATTAATTCATGCAACTACATTTACAGAGCCGGGGCTCTCCCGTCTCAGCCGAGTATAGATAAGAGATCCTGGACTTTCCCATGTCCTAAAACTAAAGCAGAATGCGCCCTCTGGTGGAAATTATGAAAAAGATGCCCTTTACCGGATCAGACAGGCTAATCTTTATCCTGAACATTCATTCACAAATGTTGTTACTAGACACAGTGCTCGGTAGGAACCATGGAATATTTTTTAAAGGCTAACCGAAAGACAGACTATCAGCTCATAACAAATATAGTTGTACTAACAAAGACCAGAAGTAAATATTTGTGAAAGTCTAATTCAGGAGAGTTTGTAATTGAAAACTGAAGGACCAATGAGGAAAATAACTTGGGAGGATGTACATGGGATAGAGGAACAAGGCAAAGGACATCACAAGAAGCAATCCGTTCAACCCAAGGTGAGGAACATCCTGCAGGAAAAAAAGTGAGCTACTTTTTCTTCAAACCCGTGAAAAGAGTGGATTGCTATGAAGAAGGTAAGAGTATAACAATTGAAAAAATAATAATAATAGTCACAGCTATGAAGGAGCTGAGCTTTTTATCCACTCACAAGCTGACAGGTTAGCCTGCTGAAATTTCATGGACACTGGCAGAACACACAAGAAGTCAAAGACAAAGGACTGCATTGTACAGAGCACTAACTGGAGTCACAAGATGATGAAAAGCACTGGCAACTCTTGCCTATGCAAAGGCTGCACTATGGGAGCAGAATCTAAGCTTGGGACCTGTGATAAGGGCAGTGAGTCTGCCTAGCCCTTGCCCTGGAGGGACACAGGGCTGCTATACCATGTAGCAAATAAACCTGCCCTTTGCTCTAGAAAGAAATTATCTGTCTTCCAAAACTTTAGTATCCCAGCATCCCCGAGGAAAGGTCATCTAGAACAAAGGCAGTTGATGCTTCTGCTCAATAGACGTGCAGAAATGTAAGATACCCAGGGAGAAAGTCTTCTGCACAATAAGGACTGCTGAGAGGTCACTAAGAGAGAAAGCACCAATGGTTGAAGTGGATCCTGAAGGATTTGTGGGAGAGGAAAACTTTAAAAAGCTAGGACTGAGCATTTCTAGCACAGAATTCAAAAAGAGCAGTTGAAAAAATATGAAGGA